GTGAGTCTCAACCTAGATTCACACTAATAATCTAAATCGTCTACTTCGTAAGTCTCGTAATAAAAATTATCATACAAAAAATCAATAATTTGAATCTTTTATTTCATAAGCCTCGCAATAAAGGAGGTGGTTGTATGTGTGAGAGAAATGGCACTCCAAATCCCTACTTGGTTCAACTTGTAAGTCGACTGAGAGATGCCACATCAATCAACACCACCTTACATACCGGTGCCACAACATCAAGAAAAGATACAGAGTTTTAATTCAAACAGACCACAACTTCCCCATGGATTTCTCTTTTCTTGCCCCTTATCTTCTCCCTCATTTCCTTTTCAGTAAACCACCGATAAGTCTTAATAGTTGGACTTCATTCTTATCAAGTTCTATTGAAAATAAGTCTTAGTAAAATTGTCGCTAAAAATAGTTTTTTGTGACATTTTTTACATATGTTGCTAAAAATTGATAATTAGTGACTATTTTTATCATGATTTTTATAAATTGTCACTAAAATATACAATTAGTAGCGTTTTTCTATGACAATTTTTAAACTATCACTAAAAGATGTAAATTAGTGACTTTTTTTGTTCAACTGTAATTTAAACTTATAATTAATAACGTTTTTTGTGATAATTTTCAAGCTGTCGCTAAAAATTAATAATTAGTGACATTTTTTAATAGTGTTTAATGAAAAATGTCATTAATTATCATAAGACCTTGTGGACAATAAGTCCACTTTATTAAGACCTACACGTAAGTCTCCATTTTCTTTTTTCAATCAACATTCCATGAACTTTAATCAGTAATATAGACTTCTAATAATTTTTATTCAACCTAATTTCTACCTGTATACATTATGCAGACACGCATTTGATTAAAAAGTAAATTTTAAAAAAAAATCCAAAAACAAATGCGTGTTGGGTCCAAAAACAAATGCATTTGATCACTCTCAACCCTTTATCGCCACTGACCCCAAAATCCGAATTTTGATTCCAATAATACTCTCATCTTCAATTTTAAAATTCTAATTTTTCTCCCATTCACCCACCCATCCTTTGTCGTCATTGTCTCCACTCTCAACCCTCTAGCGCGACTACCATGGCCACTAACACCAAAATCAAGAATGATTGCAAGGGACTTTGACCCTCCTCGTGAGGATAGTCCCAAGTAGAACAAAGGTCCCAAATGGGGTCAGTTATACACTAAGCTGACACCAAAATCAAGAAAGAATAATAAACGAATTTGAGCCTCCTTGTGAGGATAGTCCCAAATAGAACGTGGACCCTCACCAAGAGGATAGTTTAAATAAGACTTGGTCACAAATGAGCTCAGATCGGCTCAAAGCTAACCCTAAAATCAACAATAATTGCAAGGGTGTATTGATTCCAAATAGAGTGAATCTTACTCCAACAAAGGCCCAAACAATCACAAGAACTTACATAAACTTGGCCAACCCCGGGGTGGTCTTTTGAACTTAGCTGACCCCGTGGGATGACCATTATGAACTTGGCAGACCCCGGGGTGACCATTTTGAACTTGGCCGACCCTATGGGTGGTCTTCTAAACTTGGCCTACTCTATTTATGGCCTTTGACTATCCTACACATGGAGAAGGGCTCGTTCAACATTCATCGATCGGCATTAAATTGCCAACTCTGTTGATGGCCTTCGGCAATCTTGAACATTGGCGAGTCGGCTCTCTCAACCTTCATTTGCTAGTGGGCTTTGTAGAGAAAATGATCAAGCGATGAAAAACAAAAGGCTTGGTTATTGTTTCTTCATTTCCATTCCTTCACTTGGTTCTTGCTTTTTCTAATGACTGTATTTTATAGGGTGAGCAAATAACACCTTAGACTGTAAGGTCAGTAAGTCTATTCCAATTGGAGCAAGAACATATGAGCTATTTGCTAGTTCTTTTCTGTGTTTCAAATGCATGATCTCGTTGTCTTGGACGTGTGTTGGTCTATATAAATGCGAGTTACACAAAAGTAAAGCGTACTCATATTGTACTGAAAAATATATTTTCCAGTTAATGTCTTGCAAGTTGACCCAGACACTCAATTATAAAAGAACAAGGTTTAGTTTTGATAATTTAACTTTTCATTTTGTTAGTTTGTAAGTTTACATTATATGTAGTTTACATCAATTCGATAATCAAAAAGTTTGTAAGTTTACATTATATGTAGTTTACATCAATTCGATATGTAGTTTACATCAATTCAATAATCAAAATCATATGATTTCATCAGTTTTCAAAATTAGATATAACCGTGTTATCATTTTGTGCAACCTATCTTATATGAGAGAATTGTGTCCATTTTCATAATTAATTTATATCTTCATTCCTTTTTGTTTTTGTTTTTATAGAATCTACAAATCGAAATTTATATCTCATGACCTCATCAAATTGTTGGGTTGGCCCAGCCGGCAATATCTTGTGGTGCGGGTTTGCTGTAGTCATATACTCTTGGGTTGGGTCACTCAACTTGGGTTCCAAATGGTGTTAGTTTTTCCCTAAGCTGACAACAAAATCAAGAAAGAATAAAAAGGACGTGCAACCTCACCGAGAGGGTAGTTAAGACTAAGGTCCCAAATGAGAGCAGATCAGCTCAAAGTTGACCCTAAAATCAACAAAAATTGCAAAGGTATCTCTACTCCAAATAGAGTCAATCATACCCTAACAAAATAAGGCCCAGAACAATCACAAGATCTTATAACAAGATTTCAAGATACAAAGCTTAAGATCTTAGAACAAACACTTGAAGATACAAAAGTTAAAAGCAAAACAACCACAAATATTGAGGGTGCAAAGGTTATAACCCGCCAAAGAAATAAAATGGCTGATGTGAATTCTTTACAAAATATCTAAAGGAGGATGCAGAGTTAAGAATAGGGGTTCATTTTTCAGCCAATAGCAGCATTAGTTGTGATGGGTTGCATCACTTCATCCCCATCACCTACTTCAGCAGCAGTGGTTGAGCCAACCACCTCATCCCAGAGAGGAAGTGCAGTAGTGCAGATGCTGAAACATGTAGCAGAGATCAAAAAACCATGGGGCAGAAATAACTTTAAGATTAAAAAAGTAAAATAAAAAGAAAATGTCAGAGCAACACTCATACCTCAAATAGAGTACATAATCAAATCATAAACGCCTTATCCCCATCTTAATAGCAATCGCAACGGAGGCGCATTGCTGGCATGACAAAATATTTTCCAGATATAGCTTTCTTGGTTTGATCATTCTCTTTGCCTGAACATCCCTAGAGGAGGTAGTAGACTGAGAACATGAGGCTGCTCGTATTGTATGGAATGATCGGGCCTTAAAGGTCCAACTCGACCAGCCAGTGGGAAAAATGTTAATCTAGACCAAGGAAAAGAAAACATCACAAATTAGAAAACAAAGAACAAGGTAATACATCAGCACAACTACCAATTTGGTAGTCTAAAAAACAAAACTAAAAAAATATTAAAAAAAAAAAAAAAAAAAACTTAAACAAGGATTCCTCTTCTTTTCCTTGTACATAAACAAGGCTTCCTCCTCTTTTTTTTTTTAATTTTTATTTCCTTTTCTTTTCTTTCTTTTCTTTCTTTTTTTGTTTTTCACATTTGGATTAAGTATGGTAGAACATAGGATTGGCGACATCACCAAATCATCTTGGGATGACAAACACCACCGCAAGAGGCAACTAGGTCATGCCACAACCAGGGCAGGCATGGAATACACCATAAGGAAGGGGGCCAAAGGCAATGAAAGATAGAGGATGTTGCACTCAAGGGGAGAACATGTTCATCTAAGAAAATGGTCCAAATGACTAGAGAGTACCATCACCATCAAGCAACCAGTTTAATAAAATACAAAAGAACTGTAAATACTGGCATACCTAAGTAGGATGGTTGTTGAGTATATGGCATAACGGAGCTTAAAATTGCAACTTAAAGCTAAACTATATCAACACCACACAATTGATTTGCCTAATTGTTTGATAGGACTTTAAACCTGTTTATGAACCTGCATTCTGATTTTTCTAAACTTAAAACTAAACTATATCAACAACCATGTCCTATTAATGCTCAGCTTATAAACTGTTATGGTGGTATGGTAGCTCAAACAGTCTCATAATTGGCCACTATGCTAAAATCATGCCACAAAGTTGGCCTGGTTTGTTTTAACTGAACAGTAGTCCAAATGACTTGAGGAGGAAGATGATCACTGTGATTTTCTTGGTTTATGTATGAAGTTTTCCTTTACTATTGGGTCCAGTGGGTTAATTGAATTCTAACAATATGATTAAGAAAAATCTGTTTTATAGTATGCTGACTGCAATATGGTGACTATGCAAAAACTAGCAGGAATATGAAGATTGATTCTTTAGCATGGGATTGGAAATGTTCGTTGTCGATGATTAATTTTTGTCACTTTGGTCATCACTGTCTATCAACCCATCCATGGTGAAGAAGATTGTTTAGGTAGATCAAGTTGGGCATTGTCATCTCCTTAAACAATGATTTAACAACACGAGAAAGTTCACTGCATGGATGACTAGTTTAATGTATTATTTTCTCATGTCTTGTTTATCTTAATCCACATGGGTGGCACATGTCAGGCATATGGCTAATGTTTATCTTAATCCACTAACAAATGTTTGACATCGACATGTGTTGGACATGCTGTACCACTAATTGATTGGGCCTTTTCAATTTGGTATCAGAGCTTAGTTGAGCCTGTGATTGGTATGCCGTTTGTCCGGCTAGTGTATGTTGTGGTCCAAGAGGGTGTGTTGAAATGTGTCACACCATCGCCTGGAGTTGTCTCATCTGTATGTTCTAGTTATAAGGTTTCACCTCTCTCCTTAATACTTGGGTTTTAAGGAAAAGTGGGAGCTGGGCTTTTCAATTTGATATCAGAGTTTGGTTCAGCTTGTGATTTCCAGCACACACTTCTCCTTAAAACCCAGGTATTAAGGAGAGGGAAACTAGAGCTTTATAACTAGCACAAATAGGGCAACTCCAAGCAATGTGGAACACATTCTAACACACCCTCCTAGACCACAGCATACAATAGCCGGACAAACGGCACACCAATCACAGGCCCAACCAAGCTCTGATACCAAGTTAAAAGCCCCAACCCACACTTCTCCTTAAAACTCAGGTATTAAGGAAAGGAAAACTGTAGCTTTATAACCAGTACAAACGGGACAACTCTAGGCAATGTGAGATACATTCTAACACCACTTGTCAGACATACGTCTAATGTTCCTTTTTTAAAGTTTTGCTTGTTGGACCCTTACCAGACACTTAGTTGAAACAAGTCTTCAACGCAAAAAAAAAAAATTGTCGTATCTTCAGCCAGAAGAACAATACCTGCTATTTTCATCAGTCAGCAATAAGATGTGATGAGAGGAAGAGAAATTTTTCTGTCCTCAAAGCTTCCTCCTGCTTCATCTATTGTATATTCTTTGATTCTCTTCCCTTACATTAGATGACCCTTTTTATATTAACCTGGCAGTTCTTCAGTCTCATCCTTCAAATATGGTTGATTTTCATAAGCCCAATTTGGTTTATGGGCTGTTTGTATATTTCCACATGATTAGCAGGCTCAAACATGAAACCTATCCGTCTTTATTTCTCTTGTGGCCAGATGTATTAAGGAAAAATGAAAAACAAAATAGAAGCATCACACACACACACAAAAATAAATAAATAAATAAAATCTACGGTAAATGTCCTCCTCCACTTCGAAAAGGTAACAAAAAGCTTTGAATGGAGATAAGTAGATAATAAATAGTCGTAGTTCCATACGATATTGATTCAACAGCTGTATTTAGTGGCAGCTTCCCTTCTAGGTACCACAAAGATTGTCCAACACCATAACACCTGTGATCAAATGAAGCTCCATGGCGAATAAATAACTCGATAAAGTCATAGTTATAAGTACGAGCCAGTGTATGCATCATGGGCAATCTGAATGTGTCACTGCTGTAGAAATCAACCGTCTGACTGGTCTCTCCTTGAAGCAATGCGGCAGCACATTTAAGGGCTCCATATTGAAAAATCCATTCCCAGTGCACCAGCGGGACCACATCAGCTTTATATTTATGGCGATTAATTCTGGACACAAATTTATCCTTATCATCATCGATGATTATACTCCTAAGTTCGTAGTCCTCTTTTGGAGAGACATCAAGCCCTAAATCAAAATTATCGCTGCATCTCTGGTAATGTGGACATAATTGAAAGACCAGATCACATATCAATTTCATTGATATAAAACAAAACTTCGTAACTGTAAAGAGAAATAAGAGGACTTTGAATGATAGAGCACTTAGCATACCTCATCATTCGAACCCATCAACACTGGCTAAAATTCAAAGATGCCTATCCTTCATACCAACAAAAGATTTCATCATTATGTAAGAAGAAAAGAAGAACATGAATATTTACCTACTTCACTCCACAGCAGTTTGAATTATTAATTTGTAAGTAACCATTGTAACACAGTTATTATACTAAAGAATTAAGGATGAGAGAAAGGAACCACAAAATGTGATGTTTAGAAGAGCAATAATTTAAAGCAAGAGGACAGCATCAACATTCAACACATTCAATCGATTTGCCAAATCCTATCTTTGAACAAACCACAAGGGCTGAACTTCCTACATATGTACATATATATTACACAGAGCTAAACAGAACGCCTAAGGTCAAGAAATGTGTCCAACACTTCTTAGGTGTCTACGACTAAGAAATTAATACATGATCAACACTGTTACACTTACAAAACATGATTATCAAAATTTTGGAATTTGAAAATTCACTATCTTATACAAGTTGAAAATATATATCTAGTAAGACTAATCATATTTAAATTTCACTTAAATTTGTAGAAAAATGCAAAAGGCCTGATTAAATGGGGACAAAGACACGAACACAGATGCGGACACAGGACACAACGATTTTAAAAAAATGGGGACACGGACACGGACACGGACACGGTGGGGACACAACAATAAAATATATTTTTATTTGCTATCTAGATTAATATTACATCCACAAACAATCCATATTAACAAAAACTAACTCTATTCTATATATATTTTTAAAAAGTACTTTTAAATTAACACATACAGTTTATATCTTTTTTAATGGATGATCTATTAAGTATGTAAATCTAAGAAAAAAATAATAAATATTCAACATTCATCAAATGCACTAAATAAAATGGGAGAGAAGACAATTTGGCGTGTCCTTAATGTGTCATCAAAGTGTTCCCGGCGTGTTCCTGAAAATAAATTAATTAAATAAGGGGACACATCATGTGGTGTGTTCCATATGTGTCCCTGCTGCATCCCCAAAGTGTCCGTGTGTCCGACACGAATACGACACTTGCTTTGAAGTGTCGATACTTCATAATATATGTATATCTTACATGAATGTAAGATACCATTGTGACACTAGACCTAGGAAGCACGGATACGGCAATGTGACGAAACCTTAAAAAATAGGATATAGGTGCAGAGAGGATATGTTTGTAAAAAATATATATATTTATAATTTCTAAAAATATATTATGCATAAAAATAAAACCAAAAGCAAGAGTTCATTCGTTTAGTCAAAATCAAACATTGATTCGGTACTTGCCAAAACCAAAAGCAAGCTAATAAAAAAAATCTACTAAGCTAGGAATCTTCATTCCCAACTCCTACTTGTTCCTTTTCATCTCTATGTGTGTGTGTGTGTGAGAGAGAGAGAGAGAGAGAGGTTGCCTACCTAGTCAGTGATCATCTGATTATTTGTTATGTTTTGTTGAGATTGTTTATGTAATTGAGAAAGGTTAAGATTTGAAAGGTGTTTAGGTGAGGCTAATTCTTACCTTTTAACAATTTTAAGTGTTCCATATATCAAGGAAAAGGAAGAGGAAGTAAATCCCCAAAAAAATGTTGTTTCACTTGTTTTATGTGTTTTTTTTTTATATTATTATTATTATTTTTAAGTGTTCCATATATCAAGGAAAAGGAAGAGGAAGTAAACCCCCAAAAAAATGTTGTTTCACTTGTTTTATGTGTTTGTTTTTTTTTTATTATTATTATTATTATTATTATTATGTAAGGATCTATGCAACCTACGAGGTATGCAATTTGAGAAAAAGAATTAGTGAAAAAGAAGCTAAAGGATGTAGAAGAGAATGAAAACACAAAGGTAAGAAGATTACTATATGTTGAGTGCTCTTTAATCAATAGATTAATATAAAATGCTAGCACAACTTCATTGTATATCTTTCTTTTTTTTGGTTATAATATGACTGACTTATTGGGAAAAAAAAAACGCTAGCACAAAAGAGTTCCAATAGGATTTTGGGATACAATAGCACATAGCAAATAGATTTCCTAACCAATCTTAGCATAAACAGATACCAAGATAGAGTTGAGAACAAATTTCCAAGAGAGGAAACCCACCCGTTACCTACTACTCTGATGTACAGTCCCTATATATTAATATATTGAATAAAGAGCACTCAACAAATAGTAATCTTCTTACCTAACCATAGTATGTCACGACCGGACTAAATGCAAGGTCGGACTTACTTCAAACTGCCACCGGACTAATTCTGAAACCGGCCTACCCAGAACATACTACGACCGGACTAACTCTGAGACCGGCCTAACTCTAAGTTGCCTCCGGACCGGAGTAGCTTTACTCTTCCTTGGGCCAAAGCAACTATCCCTTCTTGAGCCGGAGTAACTACACTTCTCCTGGGCTGGAGTAACATTGCAGCCTTTTTACTTAGTCCTTCGCGTTTTGGGCCTCAAAGCCCAACTCGCAGCTCGGCCCAATTTTTCCCAAAAATTACCCTCTCAATTGCCCCTTAATTCCATCTGCGCAACATGATTGGGATTACCAGTCTACTGGCCGAGCTAGAGTTTATTAAGCCTTTCTAGCCAAGTTAAAAATCCTTTAGCCTCTCCAGCCGAGCGAAAAACCCTCGAGCTCTCCAACCGAGCTAATTTTACTTCGGGCTTCACTATATCCGGTCAAAACGTCTCTTCAATCACAGCGACTGTAACGCTTCCCCTTCCAATGACACGTGGCAGATTCTGATAGGCTGAGGACGGCTGTCACGCCGTCTTTCGTACTTCGCGAATTTTGAACAGTCCCGCCCAAATTTTGGGCAAAAACCATCCCTGAGGCTAGGTCTTTTCACTTTTGCCATTTCTTCATCTTCTCTCTCCGCTCTCTTGCTGTTCGTGTTCTTCTTTTTACTGCAACAGATTTTCAACTTCAGTCCCTTCTTCTTTAACCTGGTAAGCAAATCCACTTTCCCTTCATGTATTTTTGCTTTCACACTTGTTTTATGCATCTGTATATCTTGTTTTCGTGTGTTTTTTGCAAACATTTTGTCCATTTCTGGTTTGCTTCTGTATTTTCATGAAAAAAACCCGTAGAACTTGTACGTGTATGAACTGTTATGTAGAAAAACCAGTCTTAGATCCAAAATCACATAACAACCGAACTAGGATCCTGTTTGCCCCAAATACGTAGATCTCTGCAGTCAATAGCCGAACTAGAGCTTGAAAGTTTCAAAGGGTTACCAGAGCCTGACTCACTTTAGCCGAAGTAAGGTCACCGAGTTTTGAATATAGCAAACTAGTAACCTCGGTTGTCAACTGAACTAAGCTTTTGGGGCCAAGCCGGCTTTCTTGGTTCCTAAACCGATCTCAGAAAGCCGCCCCTAGAGGCTTAACCGAAGTAACTCTATTCATACTGCAACCGATTTAGACCTTGGGGCTAAACCAACTTTCTTAGTTTTTTAGACAGAACTCAGAAAGCTGCCCCTAGACGTTAAACCGGTCTACCGAGCAAACTGCTCAAACCGAGCTACCCAACCTTTTGATGAACCGAGATAGAACCAGTTTTTTGAGGTCGAAGTAGGGCTTTTGTACCTTGCTTTTAAATTGTAGCACGGTCCGTTGATCAGTGCTTTAACCCCCATCTGTTTTTTTACTTTGCAGACTTAGGTTACCCAAGCACTCCTGTGTGCGCTCAACCGAGCTACTGAGCACGATTTTTGCACCGATATAACTTATAAGTAAATTATACATCAGATGGGTAAGTATAGGTATCTAGTTGAGACCCCAGGTGGCATGGCCGAATTTAGGAAGGACTACCAAATTCCAGATGACGTCCATCTGACGTTGGCCAAAAAAGATGTTATTCCGTGGGAAAATGAAGGTTTCGTCCCTTTTACTCTTCAATCCATAATAGAAACCGGACTACGGTTTCCTGTCCAACCATTGATCTGTGAGTTCCTTAGGCAGACTAGGTTATGCCCCACCCAACTGTCCACCAATACATACCGTATTATTATGGGAATAACCGCACTAAACCACCAAACCGGTTTAAACCTTGGCCTTGCCGAAATATTCCATCAATATTCCATCGGCTCAAAAGATGCTGGGTGGGTCTATTACCTTAGGATCCGCCGCCGCCGAGAGAAGATAGTTAAGCACACACCGGACAAAGACCTTAATGATGATGACTTCTTCTGGGTCTCTGGGAACTTTGAGGACTTTCAAGCCCAAATTCCTGGCCGACCTATAAATTGGAAAAAGGGAGAGCCTGGTAATTTAACTTCGGTCTTCTTCCTTGTATTTTATTTCGGTTTTTGACCGGTCTAACTTCAAGTTGTCCAAACCGAAGCAGCTTTACGATTCCTTAGCCGAAGTAACTTCATCTC